CAAGTTAAGCAAGCCAACAAAGTATTGATAAATGAAGTCTTTTCATTTCTCATTTTAATGATTTTTTAAAAACTTCCTTCCCTAGTAAGTAAGCTTCCATAATTTCCAATCATCCTCCAAATTCATTTGGGCAAAGCCACTCTTTGTGGATTCTGGGATAATGCTTTCTATAACCATCAAGAGAAGTATATTTTCATAAATTTTAAAATTTGACCGTAACTTAAGCCAAGTCTGTCATATTACAGGCAAAGAAGTTAAATTATAAAAAAGGTTGTCCTTTTCTTTTGGTACCGTGTCTCTAACATGAAAATGTTGTAATTTAGTGATCAATAAATTTCATATGTAAAAATCTCCCAAACACATATCTATAGACCCTAAATAAAATGCCTTGAACCAAAAGTGTTCCGAATAAATGGTTAGGTATGGAACAACAGGAAACCTGTTGAATTAGGTGCATCTATCCCAGGGTGATTTGAATATTACAGGTCTCTAAGCTTTCAGAAAAAGTTGTATTTTAGCCAGAGAGGAGTAAGGTAATTTGTGAAGTCTTGGGATTGTATCTGTGTGTGTGTGCCTGTATGTGTGTGCATCTGCACAGACAAAATCTGATTTTCAATCCTTCTTTTCACTTCATTTGAAACAGAGAATTTTTTTTATTTCAGGGTAGTATGAGGGTACAAATATTATGGTTACACTTCATGTCTTTGCCTCACCCAAGCGAGGGTTAGAGGTATGCCCTTCCTCCCTACAATGCTCTCCGAGTCCTTTAGTCATGAGTTTACACCCCCATCCCCCTAATCCCTGAAGAGTGTTACTGCCCTGTAAGCACCGTAGTGTTCATCAGTTAGTACCAATTTGATGGCGAGTACAAGTGGAGCCCATTCTTCAGATCCTGTGGTACCTCACTTTGGATAATGGGTTTAAGTTTAATCCAGGAAAGCATAAGAAGTGCTAGATCACTGTGGTGAATCAGAGAATTTTGAAAAAGGTATTTTATAATCCGAGCTGATAATCAGATTCATTGTAACTCACACTTCATAGGTTCATAGACTTGGAAATGGGAGGAAAATAATTACCATAAATATCTAAACTAAAGCCAATAAGCAGAGGGAAAAGAGATAAGAAAAACTGAAAACAGAGCCAAAGTACTCTTAGGAAAGAAAAGGTAAAGAGTTATTGATAATAGTTAAACTCTAGTTAAACAAATAATTAATATATTTGTATTTGTGTGTTTTTCAGAATTATACTACAAAATATATTTGCTCACGAAAGAGAAATCAATATAGTAAGTAATGACAAAGAAGAAATAAGTAATGTCGATATTTTTGGAATAGTGCTGAAGATTTAGGGAAATAATAACTCATAAGAATTACACTGAGATATACATAAGCAAGTAAAACCATACATAGCATCATCACTGGCCAGAACTGTAGCAGGGCCTGGCAGAAACACCCAGACATGTCAGTGAGGCTGACCATGCAAACATAGCAAAATTAAATGAAAGCACAGGTCACGTGGTAGGTGCTCTGTAAGTGTGTGATGGGGTCATTCCCACCATGACCATTTGCCATGTATTCTCTGGTGAAATGTTCTCAAATAGGTAACTAACATTTAGGCTATGGAAAAAGCATTGCTCTTTAACACGTTCTGAAAATCAACTCAAAACCTATACTCATGATTTATGATTTGAAAACAAAGACACAAGTAAAGGAGAAAATCAGATTAAATGACCTTTTATGCCCACACTGTATACACAATCATGCCTGTACACACAGCCCCGATGCACACAAGCTCCCTGGGCTCTCCACTTCAAACCTCTCTCTTCCACGTCAGGACAGACAGCCAAGACTCATAATGAAAGATCTGGCCACCCCTGAATGTGCCCAAGGATGTCGCTAGAGAAGACAGCAGTCTGTAGAGGTCAGTGATACAGAGTAGAGAGTCACCCACCCTTGGTTTTTCTCAACTCCTCCACAAGGCAGCGGGCCTCCTCTTGGACACGTTCCTCAATGCTCCTCTTCCCCATCCCGAAATTCCGCAGGGTCATGAGGGTGAAGCGCCGGATCTCTTTCCATCTATTTCCATTGCTGAAAATGATTCCTACCAGAATAGGAAACAGGAAACTAGGAGTGAAATCCTCCTTGAGGAGGAGGGATCTGACACTGCACACACATGTGGGTGGGCCAAGCTCTGCCCACCCAAGCTGTGTTTCCATCCTCCCTACCCCCTTTGCCACTGCTGCCTCAGGCACTTGTACACTTACCAAGTCCTTTACTAGCTCTTTCATTAATTGGGAAAAAGCCTCTTCCAGAAAACTCCTCTCCATGATCAATCAGGGCTTCCTTCACTGCTTCATATCCATGTAACACCACTATAGGCTTCATGCCAAAATACAGAGTGAACACTGGGCCATAGACTTTTGAGTTCTGGAAAGTGGAAGCAAGATGCAAATAACAGCAAAAGAAGTCACTATTTCATCCATATTTTGTGCCTGTTTCGGACTGACATTATTACTGTATTTTTTAATGTTTTTATACTACCATACACAGATTCAAATATATCTGAATGTTATGCATAAATATGATGGTGAGAGTCACAGCTGCCACTTATCAATGAACTCCAATGTGCCCTGCAAGGGACCAGGCTATTGGTACACAGATTACAATCAATTCTCACATTGCCAATCCCATCAAAATGCCAATGTCACTTTTCACAGATCTAGATAAATTAATCCTAAATGAAACCAAAAAAGAGTGTAAATAGCCAAAGCAAATTTATGCAGTGACAACAAATCTAGCAACATCACATTACCTGACTTCAAATTATAGTACAAGTCCATAACAACCTGAATATGATGGCACTGGTATAAATGTAGGGCCATATTCCGAAGGAACACAGTAGAGACCTGAGGTATAAAACCATACATCTCTGACCAACTTAATTGTCACAGAGCATTAAAAAACATATGCTCAAAAAAGGATGCCCTTTCAATAAATAATGCCAGGGAAATTAGACAGCCACATGCAGAAGAATCAAGCAGGATCCCTCCCTCTCTCAACATGCATTAAAGACTTAAATGTAAGACCTAAAACTATAAAATTTCCAGAAGGAAAAAGTAGGAAAAAATCTTCTAGACACTGCCTTATGCAAAGAACTTTTGAGTAAGACCCAGATGGCAAACATAGCAATGATAACAAATTAATAAATGAGGCAATTAAATTAAAAATTTTCTGCACAGCAAGAAAAATAATCAAGAGACAAAACAGACAATCCACAGAATGAAAGAAAATATTCCCACACTATGCACCCAACAAAGGACTAACATCCAGAATCTACAATGAATTCAAACAAATCAGCAAAAAAAACCTAATAACCTCATTAAAGAGTGGCCAAAAGACAAGAATAGAGTTTTTCCAAAAGAAGATAGACAAACGGACAACAAACACATGAAAAAATGCTCAACATCACTAATCATCACAGAAATGCAAATTAAACCCCCAGTGAGATTTCATATCACCCCTGTCAGAATGGCCATTATAGAAAAGTCTAAAAACAATAGACGATGGCATGCATGCACTGAAAAAGGAATGATTATAAACTGTTGGTTGGACTGTATACTAGTAAAATCTCTATGGAAAACAGTACTGAGATTCATCAAAGAACTAAAAGTTGATCTACCAATCGATCCAACAATCCCACGACTGGTTATCTACTCAAGGAAAAGAAGTCATAATTTCAAAAAGACACACACACACAAAGACACACACACACATAGACACACACACACACACACACACACACCATGGATTGGTACTCAGCCATAAAAAGAAATGAGATAATGTCCCTTAGAGAAACTTTAATGGAACTGGAGACTATTATCCTAAATGAAATATCTTAGGAATGGAAAAACAAACATCACATGTTCTCAGTAATAAGTGCAGGTAAAGAATGAGTAAACACTGCCACAAAGAGATATAAAAGATATTGGAAATCAAGAAGGGGAGAGGATCGGAGAGCAGTGAAGTATAAAAACTTATATATCTGATACAATGAACACTGTTCTGGTGAGAGGCTCATTAAAGCCCTGACTTCAGCATGACACAATCTATCCCTTTAACCAAAACACTTGTACCCCTTTCATATTTTGCAATTTAAAAAGTATGTTTAGCAGGTTTATTTCCCCTACTTTACAAATAAAGAAACTAAGGTCAGAGAATTCCAAATTCATTTTCAGTGTTCCAGAAGTGATGTACAAAACATCCAAATTGCAATCTCTGCTTATTCAAACTCTGACACTTGAGCAATTTATCAGTCCCTCATGTCTGCCTTGAGACCAATACCCAGCTGACTTCTTCAGGATCACATCAGTAGATCTCGCTATGGGGGTCCTCACTCAGTACCCCTGGATGAACACTCAAACCCTGTATTTCTAAAAGTCAAAACATGATTCTAATGCCTACACCTCTTTGGGATCTGCTGTTATTACTGATCCTAAAAGAGTGAGCATCACAGCGGCAGCACCAGGACATGTAACTTCTCCTGGCAGAAGAACATTTTTCCATCCACCAGCATTCTGGGCCACAGAGAGCAGCTTTCTGCAGAATCCAAAAGAATTCTGATACCACCAATTGTGCCCTGACTGATCACTTGTTTCTTTCATTCACTTATGCTCATTCTGAACCCGTAGCTATTTCTTTGATGTCAGACATAAATTCATTATTCAGAGAAGTTCAATTTTCATGGCTATTCTGAATAAAATCTATGGCTATTATGACTTATTGAATAAAATGTCTAATTGCACACAGTTTTCCTACCATTTACCTTGAGCCCCAAATCATACCAAATGGCTACAATACAAAGACGGGACACAGCACTCCGAACCATTACCACTATATTATTTTGGTTATACCATACAACAACCTAAATGTTCCTATATTTACAAAATTCATTACCTGATTCCACTATTTCTGACAGTAACAGACTA